TATATATAAATAGTAAAATATTTTATTGAGTCGAAACAAAAGATTGTGCTACTTCATTTGTATTATGTATATATTTTTAAAGAATATTTGAGAATTATTTTGTTTTTTGAATTGTAGTAGTATCATTTTTAAGAAATTATTAACAATCAAAATCAAAATGCTCCTTTTTTATTAAATTCGCGATAGTTTAAAATAATTCAGTAACAATCTTTTTAGGCACCTGACAAAGCCACAAAGTGAAAGGAAAACTTTCCATTTTGTCCGGCTCGTAATTTGCTACATGTAAAAATTATCAAATTTAAAAAAATTAAAAAATCATAGTAATCTTTCGAAAATAGAGGTTTTAAGCTTTAAAACTTTTTCCTTTTTTTAAATTTAAATTTTGTTCGTTTTAAAGAAGTTATAACTGCTTAAATTTGAAATTTTGCTTCGAAAAGTAACTTCCAAAAATTGACAAATTGCATACAAAATATCGAGTCGGAACAAAAATTTATAGCGCTATGAATTTTTTTCGACTCGATATTTTATATGATTTGTCAATTCCCGGAAGCTTATTAATTTCATTTTTTGTTTGTGTATTTATTTTTAAAATAAGTCTATGACTTGAACGAGAGAAAGAGAGAGAGAGAGAGAGAGAGAGAGAGAGAGAGAGAGAAAATATTTATACAAGTTTCTATTAATGAAAGAATTATACATTAATTGTATTTTTACACAATTTGATTGTACAGTAAGTGTTGGTATTTATCAAGGAAATACAAGAGGGAACCTCAATGAATCAATTAGCGTTCAATTGTAAGATCAATTTATGAAAATTAAATTAACTTATGAGAGTAATATACTTATGAGAGTATAGTTCGCTAGAGTAAAGCGAAAATTTCCGTTTCGATTGCAAACTCGGAAACAAGAACGCTTCGTGAAAACTGTTGGATTAAACTGCAATTTAATTTGCGAAATTGTTCGAGCATTGTTCATTGTGTGACAAGCTGCACCTGCGATTTTACGATTGTAAAAGCGGAAGAACTCCCCCACGTGCATGCTTCACCTGTGCTTTTCTACTCTCGGACGTGCGCAGAGTGCGATAAAAGGACAATGGATATGTGTCAGAAACGGCATTTATCTGCATAAAGATCGATGCTCTAATGTGTAAGTATAGTCTCATTTAAAGTATCTTTATAACATGTCAATTAAATATATAATTATCATTATATTACTTTCAATTTATGTTAGAGAATTGTGATAACAGGGAAATCATAACTATCTATGGAAAATAAAATATAATTTGAATAATATTATTTTTGATAGATTTAATTGGAACGAACTTTTTGACAAAAAATATTATTCTTCGGGCGAGGTAATATTTTTCACAATGAAATTATTTACAAATTAAATAGGATATTTATTGGAATATCAAAATCAATCTGAGAGATGCCTACGAACATCAATATAATTAAATTATTTGTCAATTTAATTTGTGATATTACTACTCAAGTTCTGTTAGAATTGCGTTTCAAGACTAAAAATAAATTCGGCGCGCAGTTTAAGGATTTCGAGACTTAATATAAACATCCATACAAAATTATTTCAGCACTAAAAATCCCGCTTGACCGTTTAGTTTTTATTTTTAACAATATTATGAATTTTAATATTAAAAAGTTTCAAAATTTTTTATCAATACTGCATATATATATATATATATATATATATATATGTTTTATCAACATAAGATAAAACGTTATAGAATCTTGATATCACTGCAATATCATCTTTTGATAATATTGAAATCTTCTTTGATTATGTTTCTTGGATAAAGATTATTCTAACTTATTCGAACAAGTTTAATATCATACGCAAGATGTCACTACAATACTGTTTTGCTGAATGACACCATTCTGCATTATATGTACATATATTGTGCGTGTGAATATTACATACACATGCACACACATACGTAGTAAGCTCTACAGGAAAAAGATTATCTTACTGATTCTTAATCATTTTTACAATTAATGAACTCACGGATCCGAGTTCAATGAACTACAAATATACTCATACATATATTTACATATATATATATATATATATATGTATGTATT